CTTCCCTCCCTTTAACAGATTTCCATATCACTTTATCAATTTCTTCACATTCCTATGTTTCACTTTTTTACCTTATATCATTCTTAAAGCAATCACCTTCTTATAAGTAAATCAGCTTCTTAATTTCATATTACCAAAAATTTCAACTTAAACCTACAAACGTTTTCAACTGTTTGCAATTTTCTTTCATATAAAGTATAAATTTGCCCCAGTCCTTTTGGAACAGTTCATCCTGCCGATTCCGAATCTTCCCCGTCAGCTTTGCCAGCTCCACATCCTTTAGCTTTTAAGCCTGCACCTTTGTTGCTAGTTCTGCATCTAGTGAGGCCATTCCACACAAATAGCAGTAGCAAATCCAGGCATGCCACAAACTGGACACTGAATGGGGAGCTACAGTAAATCCTGGGAATGTATGTGAATGAACCATATTTCCTTAAAGACACTTTGGTCTCATTCACACTTTACAATTGTAGATATACGCTTCGTATGTGCACATAAAAACTTCCCTAAGCCTAATACTGATAAAGGTTTTATGCCTTAGGCTCCTGGATATAAATTCCTGTCATCTGTTTTTGCATAAACAGTAACTGTTTTAGCTATTCTGCTTCTTATGATCACTGCAGCATGTTGGACAGTTGAAACATTTTAAAAATAAAGCATCTCAATTTGTGTCTTCACTTCATACTTACTTCCTATTAAGGTCACCGATGTCGTTCATGGTCTGATTCTCCCCTGCCAGTGTCTCCAAGAGCAGCTTATATGCTTCTGTCGACGTATCATTTGCTTCTTTAGCTACACGAACAATGTCATCTGCTTCTTGCTTGTGCCTGAGCAGTATTAGGAGAGCAAAACGAAATGGTTAGAGAACCACCATTGTCTTCTCTCCAAACTTTATAGTCAGAGTTAAGACCCTAGGCATCATTTTCAAGGAGAATTAAAACATGCCATAAATCTTCAGTTTCAGGAACACTGCCTGAATTGTCCCTGAGAATGTAGCCAACACAGCCTATTCCTAAAACAGCAAGAGCCAGCCTCTTTGTCAAGGGCACCTCGAGTGTGCTGCTGCATAAAGACAATACTCCATGTTTTCTGCTGGTGTATTCTCTAGCCAAGCAGCAGCACAACATCGGAGAGGCAGGCAGGAGTAGAGGCTTGACTCCTGGATCCTCCTGTTCCTCTTCAGAAGTGTCAAAGATCCATGCTGTCAATGCCACTGGCTGGCCATTCACCATAGCTAGAGGTGGCTGCCTCTCCACTTCTTGCAAAGGACTGACACAATATAGTTCTCTTTCAAAAGCTTGTAGAAACCCACTGTTTTCCAGCTAGTATTTTTTTTCCTTTAAGGGGTGGGTGGGAGAGAAAGATTCACAGAACCCAGGTTAAAATTAAAAAGGGAGGAACTTAAAGAAGTGGTTGAAGCACTCCAGCTTTTCATGGGCTTGTGGTGGATGAAGGACTTCCATTGTTTTGTGAGTTGCTTGACCAACAGTCTCTGTTCATGTGAGGGGATTCAGACCCTGGTCTCTCCCAAACACAGTGGTACCTCGGGTTAAGTACTTAATTCGTTCCGGAGGTCCGTTCTTAACCTGAACCTGTTTTTAACCTGAAGCACCACTTTAGCTAATGGGGCCTCCTGCTGCCGCCGTGCCGCCGGAGCGCGATTTCTGTTCTCATCCTGAAGCAAAGTTCTTAACCAGAGGTACTATTTCTGGGTTAGCGGAGTCTGTAACCTGAACCGTATGTAACCTGAGGCACCACTGTAATTGCCTGTTTTCCCATTATTCAACAAGACTGTTCAAACAGGAAGTGACTAATATAAAAGCGGGAACGGGGTGGGGAGGGGAAGGAAAGAGACATACAACAGACTGAACTAGCAGATACTTGCCAGTGTTATCAGAACAGAAGGTGGGGGAAGAGGACAAACTGATGACATACTCGCTTTGAGCAGACAGGTAATATACTCGCTTATCTGGCCGAGACTGCACCCTTCAGGGCCAGTTCTTACAAAGCATTTTGAATTTACGGACAGATATAAAGGTAAAGGTACCCCTGCCCGTACGGGCCAGTCGTGTCCGACTCTAGGGTTGTGCGCCCATCTCACTTAAGAGGCCGGGGGCCAGCGCTGTCCGGAGACACTTCCAGGTCACGTGGCCAGCGTGACAAGCTGCTCTGGCGAGCCAGCACCAGCACAGCACACGGAAACGCCGTTTACCTTCCTGCTATAAAGCGGTACCTATTTAGCTACTTGCACTTAAGAGTGCTTTCGAACTGCTAGGTGGGCAGGAGCTGGGACCGAACGACGGAAGCTCACCCCGCCGCGGGGATTCAAACCGCCGACCATACGATCGGCAAGTCCTAGGCGCTGAGGTTTTACCCACAGCGCCACCCACATCCCTCAAGCTAGTTGAGGGGGCACCCGGATATACCTGATATATACAGATATATATATCTGATATATACAGATATACCTGAGCACAAAATATATATGTAACACATTAGTTATGCTTTCATGTATGCTTTTCGTAGGTTTTTCTTCTCCTTAAAAGAAGCACAATGAGAAACTGCACACCATGCATTTCAAAAGTAGAATCTGCATGCAAACACCCCTTTGTAACCTAAACAGTGCTTAAGTATGCACTGTGCATTCAGTACTGTAGAAAAGATAAATATGCCTTGTTAAGATGCAATTAGAAGCAGCACCATTCAAGCAGTTTATGGCTATGCTGAGACTGCTCCATTATGGACCTCCCTTGTTCTATTCACCTTAGGGCAAAATGGAAAGGTAAGAGCAAATGGAGGACAGAATGGGAGCAGGGAGGAAACAGTTCCCCCAAAGGAGAGAGGGGCTGGGCTGGTGGTTCAAGTGTGAAGAAGAGTAAAAGGGAGGGTGGTAGGTGTGATCTTAAGGTATGCTGCAAGAGGGAAAGATGAAAGTGACTTGAGGAGGGGCAGCCTTGTGTTTCTTGACAATGTGTTGCTATATTATTTATTACATTTATAAAACTGCCCTTTCCATGCTCAGAACAAATGGAGAAAACAAGGAAAACAGGCTAAAATGCAGCACCATCACAAAGCAGCTGATCCATCAGGCCAAAAGTACAACCAGCAGCTGTCCTAAAAATTCTCAATTTCTACTCAAGCTCCTTTCTCAAATACCAGTGTAAAGAAAGTGGTCTTCACCTGCTGGCAAAAATAAATCATGGAGTGGGATGACGGAACCTCCATGAGGAGGTGGTTCCATCCCGTGGGATCCTTCATGAAGGAAGCGCATGGTATTCACCAACACCAAGAGGGTTAAGAGTGCAGAAGGCATGCTAAAGATGCCAGGGACCTTACCGAGCAGCTAGCTGGCGGGCTTCTTCTGCCAGGCGAGTCATGTTGTTGGGGTCGCTGGTTGATTCTGGTGGAGTAATAGACTGGAGAAAAACCAAACAGACTTTTAAGGTCTTTTATATTTTTAAACAAATGAGCAGCAGCTACTTGCCTTCTCAGATTACGACTGGGTCTAAAGTACGGACTGGAGCTAGACACTGTGAGAAATATGGGGCCCTTGCTGATACAGGCAAGTCTTGTGTGGTTCTCCCTCTTCCCCTGGTCTGTGTTTGTATGGAAATACGCAGTGAGGCCCAAGAAAACACTTATTCATGACTCAACGTATGAGAGAGAGAGGAACTCAGCACAAGCTTGCCAATATCTCAAATATTCAAGGCACTCAAATTCAGTAATTTTAGCTCTTTCAAAAAGGAACACAAGAACCACTCACCACATTAGCAACTGCCACCTTTGCTCTCTGTAGCATATCTGAAGCTGTTTCAATCAGTTCCTGTGTGCTGTCCACCCGGGCCTGGGCCCGCTCAGCCAGATTCTCTGTCTCTTCCACTGTGTTCTGGATGTTCCTCAACCGACCAAGTTGGCCGGACAGAGTTCTGTTGATCTCCTGCAAGCGATCCATCAAGCCCTGGTCTACATCTGGAACAGACCAAGCCAAGCAACACGGACAGACTGAACTAATTGCACAAAAAGATGAGGCATGAACAAGAATAAGGCATTGTGCCCACATGCTTTTACTGATAATTGCTTTTACTAAAAAAAAGGAAAAAAGTGTGAACAGGAATGTAAAGAAAGGTGGATGCAAAAACTCCCAAGACTTTGGCAGCATTTAGGCATTTCCCAAGGATATGGAAATGGTCAAGCTGAAAGATTCTTGGGCAGAGGATTTTAGAGAGGAACTTCATGGAGGTGAATTTTAAAATCAATAAAAGAGGGCAGCACTTCTCTATTAGGACCACACACAGCAAAAGCAGAGGGAGTCAACCAGAATTTCATCAAGTTCTTCCTCTGAACTCATCTCTTCTCATGAAGCCCTTGGTTTTTCCTAATCCCTGATTGACACAAAGTTTTAACTGTAGTTGCTTATATTCATCCCTTGTTACCCTTTCCTTTCTCCCCAGCTGTCTCTTTCACTATCAAAGTTCAGATTAAATATTCCTTTGGGCAGGGACAAAACACTTGCAAATAACACATTAAGATAGGAACCACGGTACAGCTTCTTTCTACTGCACACAGGGTGGGGATAAAAAACAAAAAAACCCCACCAAAAAAACCCCCCTGGAAACCCCTACTTCAAGTTACAAAATTCTTTCACAATTGCCTGTTGAACAAATTAAGCTATTTTCTGATTTGGGAAATCCAGAAAAAGAACCTGTACACTTTGGATCAAACTTTTAGGAAAGAGACTTTTAAATTTGGTTTCCATTTATAATCACAAAAGAATACACCACTGCTATCGCCATCAAACACTAAAACCTAATTACTTCAATGTTATTACTTTCAGAAGATCACATCTCTTCTGAAATATTTATTTATAATTTATTTGTAAGAGAATTTCTAGCCCACCTCATCATATGATCCCAGCGTGGCGAAATCACAGAACTAGAGAATTGCAGCGTTGGAGGGGACCGTGAAGGTCATCTAGTCCAACCCCCTGCAATGCAGGAAACTATTGCCCAATGTGGGGCTTGAACCCATGGACCTGAGATTAACAGTCTCATGCTCTATCAGCTGAGCTATCCCAATGGAACATAATTTATAGAAGCAGATACAAATGCAGCACACCTTTGGAGAACAGTGACAATCTCAGCTCCTCAGTTGCTGCAGTGACAGAATTGCTAAACCCCCCACCCAATAAAAAAACCTAATCAATAACATGCGACAATCCTGGGGAAACAAGGGTATTCAGAAAGAAATCTGTGCCCCCCACCTTTGCTGTTTTGGGCATCCTGAAGCAAGTCCATGACATCTCGTTCGGCTTCTTTCAGCCTGTCTTCAAAAGCCTGATCAGTTATAGTTTCTTCACCTGTTCCTATGTTGGCTATAAGATTTTCAAGCTCCTGCAATCTCTCCCGCTGTTCTGCCACCTAAAGAGAAATGACAGAAAGGAGGGAAGAGGAAAGATGTTTCCACTTGCCAAGTGTTTGAGACTCCAGTGGGAATCACTCAGTCCTCATCTAGAGATCTCTCTCTACAATTAAGTATAGGACTTCACATGGTGACAATTAGCACATGTTTCCAATTAAGCTGGAGAAGCCTAAGGTTGTCGTATTTGCCAGTTTTTAGTACTCATGCTTGTGTGGGAAATAATCTGCAAAGGTTTCGACAGTGTTCCTAACATATTAAAGAACATATTAAAAGAACAAGCAGTTAAACTCAACTGGATGGATAACAATTTGGCAGACTTCTCCAAATGCCTGGGTGATAGAACTGGTTTCTTCCAACAGCTTCTGAAGCTGCATTGTAAACCAGGAAACACTTTGCAATAAAAGTTATGGGTCCACTGTGGATTTTTTTTGAGGAAGCGGGGTGGGGGGATTGTCACTGCCTTTTTAAGGGCAGAAAACCCCACCCCCTGCACAACGGTGTGATGCATTCGCCACACACTGGACCCAACTAGTCAATCCCCTCTGGACAGGTCAAAGCAGTCAAGAAGCGCAAGGTGTTGAGAGGTCTGCACCACCCTTCAGTGCTATTTCTCCCCTTGCCTTGCAGTTAGGACTATTTGGAGAACTCACTTTTTGAAAATTCTAACATAAATAGACCTTATCCACACATCCCAGACTATGTACAAATTGGTACATTATCATCCTCTGGATCTTACACATTTGGAAGTGTGCATTTTAAGAGACTTTCAAAGCCAACTCAATCCAGCTGACTGGATTGTGCTTTCTATGAACAAACCACTATGTGAAGCCATGGCTTAAAACAATGGTTTGGCGTTACTTCCAAATCCAACAGCCCTTCTTAAGCATTGTTTGTTCAGCTACCCCACCCCACATGCTTGCCAAAATAGAGGCACAAGGCAAAGCAGCTGGAAAACAAACCAAGTTTGGAGAAGCAAGCCATGGCTTTTTTGCTCATCTGTGCAATGACTCCATGATGAGAAAAAAACATGGCTCAGCAGAATGTACAAATGAAGCCAGTGCAGATCAACACGCTGTAAATCTGGAGCCAGCCTTGAGAATGGGCTTTCCTCCCACTACCCTCCCCTCTCTGGAGCAATGTGTCCCCCCCCTCTCTTCATTTCTACAGGTTAATAATTACATGACCACCCAAACAAAATATGATTATTACAACCATGCTTTGCAAACCTAGTTGAACTGACAAAGACACACAGTTTTACAAGCCTGACCTTATCTTTCACCAATCTGTAACACGCGGGGCACTCTTGACAGCCTGGCCAAGATCGATTGTAGAAATAGTTCTCTTCACACTGGTCACAGCGGTTCCCAACAAAACCTTCTTTGCACTCACAGCGGCCATCCTCTTTGCACTGAAGAGATTGAGAACCTTCAGGGTCACAGTCACAAGCTGCAGAAAGACAAGATTTAAAAATAATTATGAGGAAGAGGAAAATGAGAAAAGGGGATTTGGATGAATATATTTCAGGACACATTTAAACGGTTTTGTTATGCCTTGAAGACCAACGAACATCTTTAAAGTGCCACAGGATTAACAAAACTAACATTTGTTGGTCTTTAAGGCATAAAGGAATGTTTGTTGTCTAGTGTGATGTGGAAACTGTACATTTATGACTACAGCTGACTGGATCTGTGAGTCGTATGCATATGAAAGTTTGCAATCACTTCCATGATAGCTCAGCTTGAGCAAGTTAAGACTCACTGAAGCCTAAGGGATCACTTGTGAGTAAATCTGCTACTTTGCACCTTTTGTGAAAGACCCATCTAACCAATTATTGGTGTCCTTATTTTCACATGAATTATGTTGTATGGCATTGTGGCTATTCCTTCAAGTGTAAGCACAACCTTCCAAGTCAACTTTGTCCTCGACACAAAGCAAAGAAAGCAACAAACTGTTTCTTTCAGCTTGCTTCTCATTATGTAGATGCCTCCAAGTCCGGTTTTTGTTAGGACCAAGAGAAACCCAGTGTGCATGTCAGTACTCTATTCTGATCCAAATAAGCACACACTTTCATCCCACCTAAGGGCAAAAGTGTGCCAAAAGGTGGAGGTTTGAAAGGGGTGCCCACTCTGTGAAAATACCAGTGATGATGGGATTTGTCTGGTCTGCGAAGCAAAGACTTTTTGGAAAGGTATTGGGTGAATATCCCATATCTGATATGTCTTTTAATATCAAGGTGCAAGTGTGCAAACTTACATATAAACTCTGCCCATGGACCTCAGTGAGCCTTACTTGCTCCATCTGGGCTGTGAGAGAGTATTTCTGGGTGATCTACAAATGTACATATTATACAACATACACCTGCAAGATGAAAATGGTAGGCAAAACCACATAATTTTGCATCTTTGAATGCACTTAGACATTGAGCTACTAGCAAAACAAAAACAGCTACTCATTTAGTAAGTATTACATTCTTACGAACATAGACTTACCACCTCATCTGCTATTTGCAAGAACAAGACCCTATGAAGGAGCTTTGAGGTCTGCTTCTCATGTCACACCTTAATAATATGAAATCCATTCATGCAAGGCCACATTCATGCTTAACTATATAAAAAGCTTGGCATAAATTCTCTACTCTTGTAGATGTAGTCACACTTCAAATGGCACTTGCCAGCACAGCTGTGCACATGTACTAGTCAAATGCTGGCTCCCCAGAAATCATGGCTTGCAAACTGAAATGAATGCTTCCTTGTCCTCCTTCCTTCCCTATTCTCCAACCTCTCCTTGCCAGGGGGAATCATGGCTTAGCATTATACGCTCACCAACACAAATACTGGGTCCCAAGCACTTTCCAAACAATGATTTCCATCTCTCAATCAGACGTTTACTTATTCAACATAAAACTATGGATAATGCTGCAAAGGGAAGACAGCTCTGCAGAGGGAAGGTGGGAATACAGCAATATTCCTGCAGCCAGCTTCCAATCTGCAAGCCATGGTTTGCAGGGAACCACAGATGCATGTTCACTGGGGCACTGTATCAAACCAACACTTAGATTCACTTTACTCTTGAGATATTAGGGAACCAGAGATGGGAGGGTTTAGATAAGTAGGAATGTATGTCCCAATCTGACACACTTTGCATGTTCTCAAGCCCGAGTTAGCAGCTAAAGGCCACATTCCAGAGTAGAGGCGTAGGAGTGTAACAGCCAGAAAACAGGTCAGTTCTGGGACAAAACTCAGAGCAAGTGTTTATGACAACGAGCAGCAGATGGTCTACAAGTATATGCAATCATAATGCCCTAGAGGGAGAAAGTTAAGACTCACACAACTGCAAAAACATCCTCAATGGACTTGAAACTCACACAACATGCAGGAAGCAGACAAAAGAAAAAAATGGGGAGGGTGACGCAAAGAGCCTTTTGTGATGTCCAAGTCCATAAAAACACTAATAGTGGTGAGCAACAAAACACATTTTCAACAGAGAAGAAAAAATGGGTGATAAACAAATGTAAGCGAAAATGATGGGAAAGAAAAACCATGTTCCCTGCCCCCTTGCTTACGTTTGCAGCCTTCAGGACCAAATCCAAAATGGTTTGCTTCACATCTCTCGCAACGCTGCCCAGTAATGCCTGGCTGGCATTCACATTGCCCTGTCTGTATCTCACAGTGGCCATTAGTGGAACCCAATGGATGGCAGTTACACCTACCAGAAGAGGAGGAGGAGGAGGAGGAAGAAGAAGAAGAAAAAGAAGAACACATTTTTTAGCATTAAGGCACATAGTTAAAGCAGTAAGACTGCACAAGACCATCATGTTTGATTTGGGTACAGTGCAATGCAAGTCACATTCGCCATGAGAAGTCTGAAATAATGCTGCATCAAAAAGTGCCAATATGAAATGCAAGATAAAATGCATTTGCTTGCTTTCCATAAAAATATAAGCCTTAAACACATCCAAAAAAACCTCACAAAGTGGAAGACTGCTAGCTCAATAAGGCAGCCTTCTAAAAGCTAGTCTACTATTTGAGGAGCAACTTCTTCCCTCCTAAGAACTGGATTGAGATCCACCCCAGGGTCACAGAAACAGACTTACAATGTAGTTACTGTCACTTGCAATAGTAATTAGCAATGTCCCAAAATTTCAGCCGGTTATTATTATCAGCCTAGGAAAAAGCAAGGGAAGGGGGGAACGGGCCAAAGTGTAGCTATAGCTATTAAGGCAGTTACTGAAGGGAAGAGGGACTAAAAGGTTAAGTAATGTCTTCAAAGAAAAGGTGGGATTTTAAGTAGGTATATGAAGGGAGGGGTGCCACCATATTGATCTTCTGGGAAGGAGTTATAGGCACCATTTTTGTCACCACTGCTCTCCTAACCTTCTCCCAAAGAGTTCCTGTGACAAGTTGAGAACAGTGGGACGCAGCTCACCTCTCGCAGCCCCGTCTGCTCTGCAGGTTGTAGAAGCCAGGCTGACAAGAGCTGCAGTCCCTTTCTGTGACGTGCGAAAGGCACTCACACTGCCCCGTTACTTGATTGCAGTTGGTCTGTAAGTTCACCGTGCCGTAAGGATTACAGTTGCAAGCTGCAGGAGCAAAAGGGGACCCATCAACACGTATTTTCTAATAAGAAAGGGTTCGGAGAACAGCTGTGGACTAGTTGAA